ACCCTAACTGGTGTATGTCTGAAATCATAATGGCAACGTTTTATTTTTTTTTTATTTAAAAATTTTCGAACAAGACCATCTGTATGTATGTACTATTGCTTTATGGCTCTATCTACGTCAGCATACTTCATGGTCTAGACAATGTTATTTAATCTTACGGCTTTGTCCTCTTAATCTTATCGTTTTAACATACGATCGTCAACGTACATAGTGGGATGGCATTTTCATCAAGAAATTGATTGATTAACCGATAAAAAAGCTTTGCCAGTGCGAAATAAAATTTATATTAATTATCGTCCTTATCAAATTGCATTCCAACAAGATGTATCTTGAAGCAATTACAGAACATATTAAAGCTACATTACACATATAATAATTACGATTACGATCCAATTACGCATGTAAATTGTAGATTCTAATGATTCGCAATCGAAAAAAAAATTTTTGAAATAAGCGAACGATTAATAGGTATACCTAGACTAGAATACTTACGCAAATAAATATATAGATTATTAACACACGTTGTCTTAGCCACGAGATAATACACTATAACATATAGGACTCTATGTACAAGGGATATCAAAAATTATTGATCAACGTAAAAAGAATTAATACTCGTTTACCCAAATAACGTATTTGAGTGATCGTACTTTTGGCCATTTTTAAAAACCCCAAAAAAATCGGTCTTGAAACTTTATCGCGCACACAGCGAAAGCCTATGATAAAGAGTGACTGTTGTTTTGGATCCAAAGGATTTATCGATTAATCCAGTGGCAATGATCGATTTCGTTATTGACCTTATAAATCAGAATCAGCCGACTAATCATGCATCGGTCTATGGACCAAGTTAATTATTTTCTTCTATTTAATTCAGTCAGTGTATATGTATATAAAAATCACCATGAAGATCGATGGGGGCCCAATGCATTTGGGACTCGTATGATCTATGGCTAATCGAACAGACCCCTCTCCTCGAAAATCGGTAATAATCTTTTCAGCGCGCTTCTGTAATTTTCCGTACTGTAAAACTTTCGGCGTGACTTAATGACGTCCGGATTGTTCAAGAAATTGTGATTTAACGTCTTTTCACCGAGAACGATCGGCAAGAGGATGAAAGCAATTAAAATCCCGTAAGATCCGCGCTTTGTCATTTCTTTTGTAAGCTCCTCGAACGTCGGTGGCTTCGTGTTGACTTTGAACTTTCCCATTACGTATACCAGACTCTCGTAATAGACGCGCAGAAGTCTCGTGTAATTTTTACTGCGAACTTCGTCCACGGGACTTGAAAATAGGAAGTGCTGCAGATCGATAACCGGCGAGGAATATCTGGCGTTGGAAAAGTTGACCTGGAAAGAATTTAATTTTTTTTTGTTATAACTGTTATCATATTTTTTTAATTATAGATTGCAAGCATAGAACCGTTATGAGTTTGGTCCTAGTGCGCATTTGGTTATCGTGATCGATTTTCTACGCGTGTCTATATTTTCTACGTATATATGAATTCCTGTTATCAATGTTTGTCATTTTGGCAAGGTCTGCATGTTATCACGATAAGTGGCACAGGTTATAGGATGGATCATTGTAAAATGATAATAGACGCGAAATATTTGGAATTATTTTTGAAAATTATAAAATTTCTTTCGTATCTAGAGACAAATGTTTCTTTTTTTTTTCCTTTATTTTTTCATCTTTCGTTTTTGAGACCTTAACGCTAATTAATCCCATTTTCGGATCAATTCTCTTTACAGACACGATTTTTAATCTGAGGTTATTAACGTCGACTGTCATAATTATTGATTGGACGAATTTTGCGTTTTAAAGCAGCGGCAAAATTTGTCCGCGAATTGTAATACGGTTATAAAATTGTTCTACCGTTGATTATGACAAATTGATAAGCTTTATCAGTGAAGTGGTTCGTAAATTATAAAATCGATACGTTAACGTTATGTCGGGTTGAAGCCGAACGAAGTACGATTCGACCTCGTATAATTCGCGATACGTATTGCTTCTTTAGACAAAGGCGCCTTAGTGACTGATTCTTATCATTGGAGACTGATAACGTGAATTTCTTCTAATTAAGATTAAATTTGTAAGAACACTAAGAAATATTAGAAATTTCGAAGAATCGTAGTAGAAACTCTGCCAGCTATGTATGTTTTATAAATTTTTTTTTTTGCTAATCGGCTTATCAGATATTAAATATATTTATCAGATATTCAACTTACAAACATTAGATCCGAAATTCCTGTACCAGTCATGTCGTACTTGAAGAGAATATTGTTAAACCACAGATCACCGTGGACCAGGACGTTAAAAGATTCTGGATCTCTGGTAACAGCCGCGTTCACACGGGACAATAAATTCTTACGGAGTCCTCGTATCTTCGCAGAATATTTTTCCCCATATCCTGGCCACGTGGCCACTTCGTCCGCCACATCCTTTACGGTAAGCTCAATGAAATCCTTGACCAAACTTTCATTTTGCTTGTTCCAGACATTGGCCTCGTAATGCTTCATGGAGGAAGGATCCTGGGAAAAAAATTAATTTTTGGAAAAAAATTTTTTTTTTTCCAATTTCCACAATTTTTTACCTTCTCATATATAGCGATTGATCCTGCATGAAATGTTGCTAATACTCTCATGACCATCGTGGAATGTTCCAGATCGAGTCCCCGATGTCCTTTGGGACTCGCTATGCAGTAACCTAGATTATGCAAATCCTCCACGACGATCAATGGCCGCGGTTGCAATTCGGAATAAATACAGTGTGACGTAAATTGTTGAATACCACTCTGAGGATATTCCATGCTGACGATTTTGTGTATAGCCGGTATCGTCTTTGATAATAATTCTATCTCTTTTTCGATTAGGTAAATTGTCTGAGGATAAGTAATATTAATTATTTTTAACTGTGTAAAAAATTATTGTACGTCTTTTTCTTTTTTCTTTTTTCTTTTCTTTTTTCAATACCTACATCGAGCGATTTACTGTCTTGATTGTCGTGGTTCATAACCTTGATGATCAATGAACGTACTTCTTGCGGCTTGAAGTCTAAGATATTACGACTTCGTGGACGCCGTTTGAATTCCACGGACACCCGGTATGTCGATACGGCATTTGGATAGCTGGATATACTCCCTATGGTTACTGAGTGCTTTAATACACGAATCGTAGGATCGTTCTCGCCCCGTTGCATGCAGAGCTGAAGAAAATCTTCGTCGAGCCATTCGGGCAATTTGAATCTTCCTGTCTGCCTGTAAAATATTGACATTGACTTTGTTTTCATCGAGCGATTCTCTGGCAATAATACATTTTTTAATTAACATTTCAAATTAATTAGTCCCGATAAAATGCTCTATCTTTTTCAATTGTATCATATTTGTCTTCGTTATACCAATCGCGCGATATTTTTTTCCTCTTTTTTTTTTAATACACTATTTTCCGTCGTACATTCTTTTTATTTTGACGACACTTCACATTTTTTACTAAAAAATCCTTTTTTTTTCCTTTTCAAAAAAAATCCGACCAGATTCTGTATACGACGTTTTTTTCTCGAAATTATCGTATAAAATTTCACGGATTCATAGAAAAATTAGTGATCTTTGATAATCGATTTTTCTTAAATCGTAATCCTTTATATCTAAGCACTCACTTGGTCGCTACATTGGACACTCGCGATTCCACTTGCGTCACCATAAAGGACAAAGTCATGATTGATAAAGCAAAATATTACGAAAAAACTTTACTCTCACCGTCGATGATTTAAACGTAACTGAAGGTGAGTATTAATTGGCACCAAAATGTTCGGCAGCCCTGCCGATAAATATACGTTATCTTGACGATTAGATAAGGGGATCCTACGACCGATTAAAATTGCGGATCATCAGGCTCTATGACCGCATCGGTAGTCAATCAATAATCATGGAAAGACGTTTTAACTGTCAGAAATCGCATGATTTTATACTATTTTTATTCTTTCAGAAGCTTCATTCTCCGAATTTCTCTCAGACACTAAGTTTGGTTTCACGTGACAAATTTTAAGTCGATATTCTTTTTTTTTGCAATTTAAAATAGTATATTGTCCACCGAGAGCGAAAACGGGCGTTTCTGCGCCGCCTATGAAGTTGAGGTTCCCGAGGCGAAGCCGAAGGGTTCTGAACTTCATACAAGGCACAAACGCCCGTTTTCTCTCGCGGTTCACATACTATTTTCTTGAACAGCGGAGCGAACGCGAGTTTTCGCGTAGTGGGTGATTCGTGGGTCGGTGCAAATAAGCAGGTTAGTTTGGTAACTTAGGAAATCACAATGAAACATCTGTGCATCGTACAGCTTACGTGAAAAAAACAATTGCCCCGGTGGTAGCTGGTCGTTGGATTCGTCGGCAAATGTCACCTCACTCCTATTCAATTTTTCAATCTTCCACGTTTCCCCATTCGACAATTGCCCGTTTTCGCTCCGCTGTTGAAGAAAAGTCATTTTTCACTTCGTTTTTCTATCGGTTGTAAAAACATCAGCTGTTATCTATCCCGATAAGGACATCTATGCGGAAAGCCTGACGGAAATTTTGTATTATTATCTCCATGTATTGACGTATTTTTCTTATATTACTCCCAAGCCTTTGTATCGTGGAGCAAATTATGCGCTTCTTATACATATATCCGTGACTAGGAAAATCAATTAATCGGACGATTACATAATTACTTATCGGGATTTCTACCTGATTGCATACCGATATCAGTAACAAATAATATGACCTCATCGGATTATTATATGTATATATGTATAATATAATTTTTAGTTATTTTAAAATTTTATTAAATTATTCATAATTCTTTTTTTTTAACAAAAAACAATCCAGTCTATTATCTTACCACATATTGGCTGTCATATCGATAACGCTTTACCTCAATAATACAGAAACAATACGTAAGCCTATACAAAGTTATTCGCGACAAACTCAAAATCTGATAGTTAAATTTCAAAAATTAACGATTTAACGCATCGATTAAGTATCTATGGTAATACTTTTACACAGATTGCAAGTATATTACTTTTACGTTAGAAAAGATCGGAAAATAACAATACACGTGTAAGTGCAGAAAACGTGACCGCCATCGAGAGGATAGGAAATAACGCACTTCCCTATACACTTGGATTTGTATTAGACGTACAAATTAATTCGCGGCCCCGAAAACATAATAAATGACGGTGGTATCTATTGAAATTTTAATTTTATCCCCGCCGTAGGGTAACTTCAAAGTGCCATCCTTAAGTTTAGAAATGAGGCATAATGGTTGACAATGTTTCGGATATAAAATCTAAAAATAGTAGTGAAAGCGATGTCATTCAAAAAGCAACATTTCAAGCAATGCCTGCTTTTCCTATTCCAGCTGAAGAAAAATGCTGCAGGGACTAAGGAAATTATTTGTTTCGCCGTAAATAAAAATGCTGTGTCTTATAGTACGTGTAAAAAGTGTTACCCAAGGTTTGAGAAGGATGAAAATTTCAATCTTCGAAAAAAACTCACCCTTTTTTCGAAACCTGTTACCTGAGAGATAGCGAAAATATTGTAGAAGGTAATGGGGCTTGTTTTAAAGGTTAGGTAATCATTGGTTTCTTTTTTTTTCTAAACAAACATCAAAATTATACAAAAAAGGTTGATAATTAATTCGTGCACCTAATAGTTGGTAGCCTTGCAATTGAACTAACTGGTTTCGCAATCATTATCCCAGCATGAGAAATTGTGGAGAGAAATAACACGTGACTCATTGCAAAGCATTCTTACTTCGCCATTAGATTGCATATACGTGAATACAACATTCTGCAGTAGCAGCAGAGACGAGTGAAGTGAGTATCTGCAGTGAGTTAGGTCGTTCTAGTTCTTATGACAGCGTCAGAATTGTTTGCTTCGTTCAAATAAAATTTATGCGCACGGTAAGATAGTTGTGGCTAGATGTTGCAGTGTAGTACAGATTCGTCCCACTTTAGTTCTATTAATCTAAATCAAACAGTTCGTGCACGGTGGCGCAATCTTACGTTTATAAATGAAAGCGACAATGCGAAAGCCTCGACAGTTACACGGCGATGTCAAAGTGTACTGGTTAGTTAAGTGAAAATACGGTGCCTTTAAAAGGCAGTGAGATAATATATGTATAATATATCTGACACGTGTAAACGGAGCGAATATTAGTTTGCAGGAGGAAATAAATAGAGGAAAACTAACCATGGAGAACAGCGTGTTTCGCGTGGACGCTGATTTTGTGAAAAACGTATTGATTCAAAATTACGGATCGAGGGACGTCAAGATTATGGATTTACAAGTATCACAAGGGGTTAATAGGGGGGATAATTTTTTAAGTTCAATGTGGAAAATTTCAGCGAGATACGAAATCTGTAGAAACGGAGAGAGAGTGCAGGAACGAGTTGATTGGATGTGTAAATTCGCACCTGAGGACGAGGCTAGCAAAACAGCTGTAAAGGAACAAGGAATATTCACGACCGAAATAAATATGTTGACTAGAGTAATACCAAAGATCGAAGAACTTTTTGGACAAAGATTGGCTGCGCGTGCCATTTTTGCGTCTACTGAGGAATACGAGGTTATTGTTATGGAGGATCTGTCAAAGGAGGGATATATTTTGAAAAATCGTATGATCGGACTTGACCGGGAACATGTTCTTTTGACGTTGGAGAAACTGGCGAAGTTACACGCAGGCAGTGTTTATCTTCATGAGAGCGTAAGTTTTCAACAACAATATAGTGTCGATTTTTATAATTTATTATACAGCCGAATCTCGATATAAATCTGTGCGTTATAATCACCGTCGTATTCGTTCTTCCGTTTTTTAAACTTTAAAAATATTTTTCCGCTCCAAAGCTATTTTGACTTTTGGGATGCATATGTATATAGATGCCTTGAGTGAAACGTGGGTTAAATGTGTATTCGCAAAATTGAAGGCTTACGACGAGTAGTTGTGCTCGATATACCTACAGATGGTAATACGGAAGTTGTAATTCTTAGTTTTTAGGCCTATAGTCCCAAAGGGAGTCTTATAATGGATTGGACTGTATACATTTTTTTCAGGAACCGGAACTGATAGAGTCCTTCAAGATTGGAATATTCAATGAGTTCACGCCAAATGGTTTTTACAAAATGTTTCAACTGAGCCTGCTAAAACTTGCCGATTACTTCGAGACCTTACGGGACGAATGGTGTCCTCGAGTAGCAAAGAAGATCAGGGTAGTCGCTGAAAATTTTGAAGAAAATATTAAAAACGTCTATGCGTACGATCCCGATGAATTTTGTGTGCTCAATCATGGGGACTGCTGGGTGAATAATTTATTATTCAAGGAGACTGATAGCGGGAAAGCTACGGACTTGCGTATGGTAAATATAATTTTATTATTTGTTTTTTTCCACGTTAACGATAATGAGATTGACTCTCATACATGTAGACCCGCTTGGAATCATTTCTATTAACGCTTACAGGGTTCTCAGATTTTTTTGACGAGATCTTGTAAATTTCATGAATGAAAATCATAGACACGATTAATATATACTTATTGTTATATTAATATTTACTTATGTGAAAATATTCAGCTGATTTGGACACGAAGTATTCTCTCCTGGTCCTCTGAAGCTTGACGAATCTTCATTCATTACTTGAACCATTAAGAAAACTTTTTTGTTATCCAATTGATTTTTTCAAAATTTTCAACCGTTCATAACCAATTTTTCAGAATTACACAAAAAGCAGTCTAAAAAATTAATAGCAACACGTCAGGAGTTGTAAGCAAGATTATGAGCTAAATAGCAACAATGTCCGTCCATATGTGCCTGTTAGATTGAACTCACTTCAATGTAATAAGTGAACCGTAGTAATAAAGTAACAAACAGCAGGAATATTATTGATAATCGACTATATCGTGAACGTTTGAGCAACAGCAATTGCTTGCTCTCTGTAAGCAATGTATCGGAATCATTTTCTCAACATGTTGATAAGCAACTATCGCTTACATGTGACATTCTAATTGGATGATACAACTAGGATGATTACAAGTTGTAGGCAAATATAAGGCAAATTACGCAACATTTTTTGTCTTTGTTCTTTTGACGTTTTGTTATCTAGGTAATAAAAATGGCATCGTTAGCGGTTGTTACGAAGGTTTTTGGCACTGCTGTTACGGTTGTAAATATTTATCAAATTATTGTCTCCTCGGTCATAAAATTATTTGATAAGCGACAGCGTTGATTCTAAATAAAAGTAAGGCACGGTAACACCACCGAATTATGGAATGGTCTGTTACGTAATTTTGAAATTAAAAAAAAAATTTTGTTTTTCAGGTCGATTATCAGATGTCAATTTACGGATCGCCGGCCATCGATATAATATATGTACTTTCGACATGTCCAATTATCGAATTACGAGGCGATCACTTTGAAATCTTTACCGAATATTATCTGAAGGAACTTCGGATAAATATGGAGCAATTAGGATGTAAGAAGAAACCGTTGACGATGGAGGAATTAAAAAAGTCGATATTAAAAAGAAGAATTTATTACGTAATGGCGGCACTGATATTGCATCCACGGATGGTCGCGGACAAGAGCGAGGTTGAAGATTTCAGTGAATTTTTGGAAAGTGGCATTTCGAAAATGAACGTAATGAAAAATCCGTCTGTGCCCCAAACATTGCGTAAGATCGTTCCACTCATGGATAAAATGAATATTTTTGATTAGATAATAGAAAATTCGTCTTACCAAATTTTTAGTATAGTAGAAAAATTGTTTTTTTTAAACCAATAAAATTACTGACCAATATTCTAAGACAGGTCCATGGTCCATCTTTCGAAAATAGCAGAAGAAGTAACTTTCGAAAAGGACGCAAGAAAGGTCCGCATTGATTTACAGTAGGGCAGTAAAGCACTAGGTAAATTCTACTCGTTCTTCGCCTTGCTAACCTACATCGTGAACATAGAAATTGTTGTGGCAAGCCTCGGTGGGTGGCAGCCCTGCGCACGAGACACTTCGCCATGGAGTAGTCAAAGAAGATGAAAGGAACTAGCAAGAGATGGAGGAAGTGAAAGAAGAAGCAGTAGCATTCTGTGCCCACAGGAAGAAACGCAAGAGAAAGGTGATCGGTTCCCCACCGCTGCGAATTTCTCCAAATCTTCGTCTCCTCTTAGTCAACCATCACAGTTTTCCCTGACTGAGATATTTATGTACGCGACTGTCGTAAATCATTCCCGTGACCGGGTCGTCGAGGACCTCCTACGGGGACGATCGAAATCAAAATCGGTAGCTTCATACTCGGTCTGGAGGTTTGACGCAGGACTATAATGCCTGTGGAAAGTGGGGTACGAGTATCCGGTTTACTCGGTTATATAGGTTATGGCAGACAGTAGAATTCCAGTAGCTACGCCAATTAGTCACGAGGTGGCCAGAGGTTCATTTTGCCCTTTTAGTTGAAAAAGGTCCATTATGAGAAAAGCGGCATTTTCGTTCATTTCACGTTTCATGAATATGACCAAGTAATTCTTGTAACGTATTTTCTCAACTCAGTGAGTTGAGAAAAGTGATAACAAAAATTCGAGAATTAACCTACGTCACCTTCGGCCGTCCACCCTTCGTCCATGCGTCCGCATGACAAACGGGCGACAGCTGATTATTTTTTCACCGGGAATTGACCAACCAGTATGACCTATGATCTTTGGGGACGTGTCAAATCGAGAAACGTAACCGTAGGTGCTGATCTTTGGGAGCGAATGGCTAAGGAAATGCATGGCCGCTCAGGCTGCTAGGTTGAGGTAGAGAGGGTCGGACTAAGCGTCAGGTAAAAATCGCTATAAAATCGAAAACCCTCCACCAATTAATTGGGAGTACTCACCGGAGTTGGTTCAGCTGATCCCTGAAGGCCGAGAACTGCATCCAGGGTAGACTCAGGTGGGCACTGCTCCATAGCACAGCACTGCACCTCCGAAACGCACGCAAAAAATCTATAGGATTTTCTGGATGTTACGAGAGTAACGCGAGAACCACACAAGCGAGAACTTCCTATACCGTATAGGAAACACAGCTAGAAAAACTATCAACAGACAGCACGGGAGCGCGAGGCAGCTCGAGGCACGTCGACCGGTGTCCCAAGACAGACTGCTTTGACAATAGTCAAATTCGGGAACTAATCGTTCTGATTGATCGAGATCCTTATAGCCAATAACTCCTATCCTTTTCCTCGAGTCGTCCCTGTAAACTAACTCGAGAGCGTTCATTAGCGAATCGATACGTAACAAATCGAAAATCCTCCACGGCCGCTTTCCCAGGGCATAGGGCTACAGCTGGACACCGCATCCTCAACTCGGGTCAGGGGGTTCCTCACCTGCCCTTGAACGTATCAAAACCTTATCTAGGCCTGCTCTACAGCCCTTTGCCACCCTCCAGCGGGATGCTGGTATCTCACCCGGACTTCTGCCGATCCGCGAAGACGTCTCCGTCGGGTACCCTTCTCTGCCGGGCAACTCGGTACGTCGAGACTATCTCTCCATGACAGATTCGAGCACCTCGACCTCAACTAAATAATAAAAAATCTTTCAAAATCATTTGCGTAACTGTACGAATCAACCCGAGAACGTGGCTTCTGATGAGGGTGGCAACTCTAAGGAAACCAAAAAGCGAGAACGTTGTCTGAATCGATAGCAGGAGTTGCCTTGCGACCGTGAGTCGAAAAATCCCGTGACTGTCTTAAGACACGTGTTTGCATTTTTTTATCAGAAAAATATTTTTTATTAATAAACATAATTTTTAGGGGATACAATTTTCAGGAGTTATAGTATAACAGATTTTGGGACTGAAGCAAAATTCTGGAGATGCTTTCGGGAGAGACTGTGTCGAATCTCATGTGAATACAAGACTAATCCTCGATTTGTCAGTTTCGTCGGTTTAATACAATTTACTTGGGAAATTCGTCAACGTCTCACGTATGAATGACACTTTTTTTTCCCCCTTAAGACGTCGGCATCTCGAAGCGTCCCGACGCGGTCGATTGATAAATTCGGAATGTCAGTGGAATTCTCAACAGGGGAATTTTTTTTTAAAGGGGGTGTCAAAAATAAATACTAGTATTTTTTTCTGTCACCCCCTTCCTCCCCCTATTCCCTTAAGAAGGATTTTGCTTCTGTAGAGAAAAAAGGAAGTCCATGGTCAACGAGCGTCATTGTTGTATCCATAGGGATATACAACATGAAATTAATCATGTCAAAAGATTCTACTTCTTTTGATTCAAAAGTATACCGAAAGCTATTATGGGGGTGTACAGAATAAAAAAAGTTTTTTTAATGCTTTACTGTACGCCTGTTTAGTGTTTGCGGTCTCGTATTGCGGCAAGTGCCACATTCAAAATGGATGCTTATTCTTATTAAGGGGTATATAATGCCGAAGTCTTTGATAATTGAAAGAACGTTGCATGGGCTATATTTATATACTATAGCATAGATACGGGCGTATTTACATGAGACGTCCCGCAATTTCGGCGCTACAACCGTAAACGTATCATTGGGCAACAATATACCCGTGGGACAAAATTATCGGCGTCAATGGCTGCGACACTGGCATTGTCCCTGACATTATTCCAACACGGCGAAGTAAATTATTGCTAAATATCGAGAGACCCAGCTAGAAGCGAAGCGGATGTCAAGATGCGGGCTGGGGATCAGGATTCGTGGGATTCTGTGGCATCGTTGGTCGAAAAAGAAGAAAAAAAAAAAAGTAAAATTTCCAAAGGTTCAGTCGATACTTCATCGTTCTCATTGGTAAAAAAAAATTTTTGATTTTTTCCAAAATTTTGAATATCGTTTAGAAAAAAATCTTTTTCTCATATTCTTAAGACTTTATCGAATTATTTGTTGTATCATGGAAAAGTCATGTCGAACCCAGAAATTTAATATTTTTGAAAATTTATGAGTATCTTTACGACCTTTCCCTATATTTTCCAAAATGGTTAAATTTCTTGCGCGTAACGACAAGAGGGTGTGTACTGACTTTAACGTCCTACGATGTTTTGAGAATCTGTGGCTGCTCTTGCATTCAGTTTTCGCCAAGCCAACAAAATTCTTTCTTGACCAACAGTAAATCATAAATGCGGATTTATGGGTCAATTTTCGTAGGTCAGGTCCCGGTGAAAACCGCGCTTTCACCTCTAGTCACTTTTCTTCCTTTCACGAAGTCGGTGTAAGCACAGTAAAAGTGCATCCCAGTGACTTTCTACGAGGTGTGTAAGATCCTTGGAGTACAGCCATAAGACATAGCGGATATACGGTAAAAATAAGTTTCGAAAAAAAAAAGATAAGAAAAATTTTAACCTGATACGGAGAATCCTTATGCGTGTAAATAAGTTAATGAAAAAAAAAATTATCAGACTAAGCCTTTTACCGAAAATAAAATAGTTTCCCAAATACTTGCGGTTTAAAGCACCACAGTATTTCCACAGTATCCTTTGATTCTCAAGCAGCGGCTCACCCAAGAGCCATCTTCATTCGGCACCCAAATAAAATCTCAGAAGTAGGTACACCGGACCTCAATTCCCCTAGAACAGTCATAACCTCAACTTCTAAAACTCTAGCAGAATAGTATTTCGGTATTGAACCCCGTAATAAAATTGCACAACGTGTTTACGCCATTTTGTGGCCATACCTTAAAGCAGTGAGTGGTCAGGTCCAACCTTAACCCAACCATATAAACCATAGACACGTATAAAGCCACGAGAGTGCAAAACATTTGCGAAGTCATAAATATTTCAAAATTTTCAAATTTACAGCTGTCAAAAAGACATCAACCACTGCTGCAGCAGATATTTAACATAAAACTGGAGTAAAACCAATCAAGAACCAACCACGCGAAATTGTCAAAAACAAAAAAAAAACAAAAAAAAATAATTAAAATATTCTTCCTCTTTCTCAAAAATCCAATTCTTATTCACCGAAACCCTTTGAAGGTCTGAAATTAGAAAAAATACCTATATCACTACCTACGTCGTATCTTCAAAATTTAATTTAGATTTCAGAGATCGATTCACGAGAGCGTGTGAATAGCGAATACAAATCGTACGTGATTTCTGTATGAATGGCAAAAGCCAAAAGCGATTACGATCGATTGTACAGGGTGTATACGGGGTGTAATAAACGAAAGAGAGCAGAGGGAGTCACGTCGAGAGCCACGTGCTAGTCGTGTGACCGCTATCAATGTATCTTGCTGTATTGATGTGCCAGAGTATCATGTATACCTATATAGAATATATATATGAAACTATAAATACATAGTATCACAAGGAGCCACGCGACTACCACTTCATAAACGTATATTATCCATTTGTTAGATAACTGCTAGCAGATCACCGATCCGTGTTAAATCCGTACCAATTTGATTATCCTTATTAAAATTTTGGTCCATACTGGGAACAGTATGGTCCATAGGGAAAGATATAGAGAAAATTAGTGTACGATAAATAAGAATTAATAAAACGGATAAATCTGATATTTCAAATCATGTGAAAATTCGAAAAAAAATTAAACATGTAGGCATAAGACAGGAAATTCCAAAAAAATAAACACGACGAATTGCTAACCTCCTTCTTTTTGGAAGCCGGTTAAAACGGTAAGGGAATCAATCGGGTGCTTTTTTAAATATTAGTATGCCTGTCTTTCTCTTACGCACTTAAACGCCGATACTTCCGTCTCTCTCGCACTCGCAACGAGTATAGGAAATCGAAGAAATCTTAAAAATTTCTGGTTGAATGATGTTTCGAAAATCACTATTTGTGGGTGTCTGTTTATGTGTTAATGTATATCTATATTTCTTGTACTATATAAGAAGATCATTAGGGTGGAAACTTTATGCCCAATTTACTTGACGACCGTATTCAGAGAATAAAGTGTAAAGGTGTGCCTTTTTCCCGACGCCAATCTTCACAGTCGAAGGTCCGGCAGGTCCTGTTTGTTTGACAGGAGAACATTATTTGCAGAACACAAGGAGTTTCTCCTTTCGCCGGGAGATTCTCTGTGTATTTGTCTACGTAAGGAGTGCGATAGAGGGTGGTTTATACTGTATAGGGTGGCGAAGGTAGACCGCGTATAACGACGTCCTGATGCCAGTTTCTTGTTTCATGTCCGAGAAAAGCCAAGTAACGACCAGAAGAAGGACCGAGTCTTGAAACCAGCTGTTTTCTTGGGCTTTCGTGGAAATCGCAAGAAAACGTACCCTCGTGAACAAATCCGCTTGGACCGAACCTTAATATAAACATTTTTATAAAATACCACCCTGTACAACGTTACGCATGTAAAAAGATCATAGTAAATTCAATAAAAAAATTACCAATGATTCGTCTTTCCCGATTGGCAATTTTATCGACCCTACAATATATATATATATATATATACCAAGGCTCGCAATAATAGTAATAATAATGAGGGTGCAAAGTAGTTCAATCGGATGAAACAATCGCTCTCCTTTCGGAAGCCGCAAAGAGACAAATCACCCTGGGGGCCTATGATGGTGACTCTATTTACTCGTGTCCTACAACACGCGCTCTCAAAAGCACCCCTTTGCTACCCCCTCGTAAGGGTAACAGGGTGAGAATTGTATGCGGTAGACAAAACGCGTAACATCCGGACTGGTCAGTTTCCCAAGGCTCCCACTTGGTGACGTGTAACCCTCATGGACCCTAGGGGGTTGGAACCCTCCAATGATATCCGAGGATGAATTTTCGAGCTGGAGACAGTCTGACACCTGATATGGGTCATGCGGTTCCTTTTTTTTTTGAGGAAACTAAAATTTTGATATATCTGAAAAAAATTGAAAAAATACTGAGTTAGGATTTTTTTAAATATTTTGACTTTATATGTCCGGATAATTTTATGGGATATCATACCGGTACAGGTTACATCATCAGATCGATTTTGTAACCTCGATGAGGATTTGGTATCGAATACGTGTTGTTTTCCTGCAGACGAGGAAACCAGGACGTGCACCGCGATTGCAGTAACAGCATAGTTCTGTGACACAGGACGCGCGTAACGGTAATGTAACCAATCACGAGCTACAAGGCACCGACAGAGTTCGCTGGGGGTTGCACGGGGTTGGTCGGCTTCGATAACGAGGAGTTTAATGACAGCGTCGACGCCGACGCTGGACACGTGGACCTATCCAGGGGAAAACTTTGTTTTGATGCTTTGTGTCCATCCCCTTCTTGGATAGTCTCAGTTGAACCCCTTTTCACTGTAAAAATAATTAATAGTTACAATAACAGCTGTCAATTAATCTATAGAGATATATGTATAACTATTTACCTTGCAATCGTTGTTTGACCTATTTTCCATTTATTTAGATTTTCTTCCTCTTAGCAGGGCACTTGGAAGTGGAGTACTTGAAGATGATGTTGCAGTTGCAGTTGCACGTGCAAACAAACGGGGGGGTCTTGTATTCGTTACCGCTTTAGTATATACGTATAGTAGGCGTCGTTACGCACGTGACTGAAACAGAAAGAAAGAAAGAAAGAAAAAAGGGCGCCACGCGACCCGACGCCGTTTTTCGGCGTTGCAAACACACGCGCGACACGAGCGCCACTCTGGAGGATACGGCCCAATGATGCGTACTAGTAAGTCGTTAGTGTTCTGGCACCTTGTTATTTTTACATTAAAATCACTCCTCTATTGGGACCCCTGACTGTTTTTACTTTTTTTTTGCTCCGGTCTCACAGTCGCTCGAGCTTTGGGCAATAATGTTAATTGTTTGCGAGTGGATTTGCAATGCGACGGCAAAGAGATTTTGACGCTTGGAAGATTGAAAAATTTTGACAAAATTTTGATTGAAATTTTTTTTGACCCAAAAATTTAACGAACTTTGACGAAGAAAGTGATGTTTTGTGGGAAATTACTTTTCTTTGGAAAATTTTAATTTTTATTCGTCGTGGGAAATAATATTAATGAAAATCTCATTTATTTTCGTTTTCATGTATTTCTTAAGTGCGTTTGTGTTTGTTCACTTTTTTTTTGGTCTATTCTTTTTCAACGCTTCGATTCCTTTTACGAGCGCACGAGCGCACGCCGAACGAATTCCAAGGCGGGTCGATGGGAATTTTAAAGGGTATTTCTAGCAACATTCTCGTGTAAAGGAGCATGAAACGAGCTTTTTAACCGGCGAGGATTAAGAAGTCCTCGCGGTGGAGAACAATCGAATCACTGTGGTCAGGTCAGGAGTGTATCGTTACGTTTTTCGGGAAGGTCCTGGAGCACCTCCCGAAAAAATTGGAGCTAAATTTTTTTATTCGAAAGCAGAATCCACATTTTTAATAGACGCTTGAGGAATATATTTTTAAATAAATAATTTTACTGAACGATTAAAAAAACACCAGTTACCAATACGGTAACAATCCCACCTAATTGTATTATGTTCAATAAAATCTGTACTATTTTACAATTATTACATAATATGCAGAAACATCCACATCTTATAATAAGGTAGTAAAAAAGTACAGCCCTGAACTAATACTGGGTCCGCCACAATGTATTAATCCCGCGACATTTACGACTTGTTTTCTATGAGATTCTGGGCCTTTTATGGGCCTTTTAGGCGATTCTCCGATTCCTGTAAATCAGTGCAACGCCGATCGTGCCGCACTAGTTATGCTCAGCAGGAAATTGATCGTAAAACTTGATCCTATACTGTCAAAAAGCCATGGCATGACCGAGTAAAAAAGAAGTTAGGACCATAAACTCATTGATTATTTTGTGACCAAAAAAAAACCTGATCCCATTAAAATTTGCAGTTTAAAAAAAACTCCGTTACAATCATTGCAACGCGTAGCGGCATTTATATAATGTTAAATTACCAAATAAATGTATTACGTGCAAATTAAAATGTCAAACGTGTCTCTATCTTTGAATTCGATTGAAAAGCGTCGAAAAGTACCATTTCGAAGAAAACGCATCAAGGGCTCGTTAGTGGCAGGGAAGAGCCGACCTTAGCAGGACTTGGCAGGTGACCGTAGGTCGGCGTTGGAGTCGATTGTTGCGCATTGAGAAAAGGGCACGTTGCGCCATAATGGGGCGTGCGCGCGGTGCCATTTTCGCCATTCACATGAGAATAACGCGCGCGCAGCACTTCCACGCAGCCATTCTTAAATCCTCGCATTCCCATAGCCTTTGAAAGAAGCTGTAGCTCACAGTGCGGTGCGACAAAAAAAAAGGTGAACAAGAAGAAGAAACTCGCCAGGAAGTCGTTAACGCTCCCCCCACGCAGAGAGCTCGTGGATCCGGTTAAGGGATGCCAGGTGAACGATTTTTCACCATAGAAGAGACTAGCCTGCAAAAAAAAAAATTAAAACGAAAATCATTTTGAATTAGGTACAGCGGGGTAGTTATGGAAATTTGGTATAAGTCCCATGTTCAATAGAAGTGTAAGAGTAAAAAAATCATCCCCTCGATGACAATTGGGGTTACTTGGCAATTATAATGATTTTCCAAAGTATCGCGAATTGGATTGATTTTTTTTTCCTTTCCCCAATAGAAATTGGATTTTTAGATGTGAAAATACAAGTCTGCGGGAGTTAGCTATTTAGACGAGGGTTCACGCGGTGAGACATCTGTTGGACAACTTAACAAGCCCCAACCCTTGAACTCCCTATGGCATCCCTTACTGAACTCAACCTTTCTGAATACACCCTCATCCCTATGAAACACATAGCCGTAGCCTACTCCTATGGTCTGTGTACATATCCACCAACCCCATAGCGCAGTGCAGACAGTGTCGGATAGCTTAACAACCCCCGACGACATGGGGTGAGTTCCGCAGAATAATGTAACACCCTGTACTATACATAGAGCGAACCATCCCTGAGACACCCCATGGATACCTTGGTCTCACCTACAACCCCTCCACCCCCTCGCAATACAATTATCACTCTTTCTCTCTTCACGCACTCTTACACAAGCTTTCATATTCTCTTCTCCCTGGTTTTATCCTTCTCGCACACTCTCCTTACTCCATACTCCATTTAGCGCCTGTTAGGCACGACAGCGTGGCGCAGCTGATCCCCTTAACGAGGTGACACTTTTGTGTTCAGACATAAACACCTAAGCGACAGCGCCAATTTCTTGGAAATCCTGAAAAGAAGTGTCAAATAAAATTTTGAAAATTAGAAAAAAAAAATTTATAAATTCATACCATTTTATAGCGACGAATTTTTCACAGACCAGACAACCCTGTAGATTCTAGGCGCCGTGGTTGGAACAAAGTGTCACCGGTCGTACAGTGTTGTAATTAGTTAACAAGTGAGGGCCTGGATATTTCAACAGTTTTTTCTCCTTGTTGTCACCGCAACAAGGGGAAGCGCATGTCTAAGGAGTAATTTCCGATGGTGCGTTTTAAGTCCAGACGCACATCAGCCGGCTAATTTGACGCGTGGCAGAGACGCCGGCATGGCAAGGATACGTCAATTAGTTATTATCAAAGAGAAAGCGACGTGTGAGTTCGACGTCGGGACGCCACGAAGTAAGTAAAGAGACGTCTACGTGTGGCGAAACACCTTGTACAAACTAATTATCAGTGGCGACCAAAGTTTTTACTAGGTTTCATAAAAATAGCGTGTTTATTCGGTGAACGGGCGTCCCGACGCTCTGCTTGTCTCGCCGTTTTCTCAGTTTAAAAATACATAAATTAATAACCGTCCGCCCACGGAATTAGCTGCGTAAACACGATTTATAATGGAGACTCCTTGAGTATTCCTCAGTTAAAAAAAAAAAGGTTAAAAACCAAAAATGTATTTTTCATGTAAATGTACATACATACATATTTACATGAAAAATACATATATATATATATATATATACGTATACAAAGATTAATTCATCACTTCCATATACGATAAAAAAAATGTAATTCAACGACGCTTGCCGACGCCTTCTCGCTCATCCACCAAACGACGCCCGCCGTCGCCGCCGTGATAAAGTAGGTACGAAGAGAGCGAGTCCGGCATGTGTGCAGACAGTGTGCAGGCTCTGTGGTCCATTGGTGATCCTCCTTGATGCATGGTCGGGGCCTTAGGGCCTATTTGTAAATACAACGCCACGTCCTCGCAGGTGGCTTCTGTCGCTAGAGGATTTCAGGGATTTTCCGGATTTGCCGTCAGCTCAGTGTGATATGTTAAACACGTGTAACATACTTCACACACGTCCATTTCATAAAATTACGTATTAGTTCCGGCGAGAGTTCTTCGAATCGCAGTAATTCCAAAAACGACTAGGATACCTAAAAAAAAAATTTTTGTCATTACAATTTTAAAATTTTAATTTCGCAAAAAGCAATCTCACCTAACGTAATATTCACAGTCGTTAAAAAAAATGTACAAACTCCAATTAAGGATCGCGTTGTGAACCAAGCTTGAGGATTAACAAAGCGCGAGCGTAACTGACGTATCTAACCATCCGTTATATATATCTATATATCAATAAGCATGAATATATCGTGCTGGTACAAGACGTATGTGAGGTTAACGTTTCACTTGGCTCTGTTTAACGTGATCCCCTTCCACGTAATGTTACTATAACGGCACGATAAGGGCGATCGAGAATACTGATAAGAAAGATCAAAAGAAACTGTACGCACGACGTGGACTGGTTGAGCGCAGTAGCTGTTTGGATTAGTCTTAAGAAAAATACACAACCCGTGACTGCGAACGAACCCGAAAGCAAAGCTAATTATAATTGTGTTCCATGACTGTCATGGGATACTGATAAATGACATATGTGATGTATTACGTGACGACGCGAAATTTCTTGGTCACCGTGTATATATGTATCTACAGAGGATACCAAATGAATACCTATATATGTAATACAACATATGTAATCGATTGAGAAGATATGCATACATTTTTTTTGGTTGCTTCAAATTTTTTATAAGGATGTCAAAAAGGGTACCGGATACCGTAAAAGATTTACCGAAAAAAATGATGACGTACGACCTACAGTTTCCATGTGAGATACGTCGTACCAGCTTTCTTTACGCTCCCGTCGCTCCGCCCTGCTCGTTTGTGAATTAGTGGAATTGTGGTAATAGTCAACGACGAAGTCAATGGGGAACGTTTTGTCGTATCAAATGTCGTATAGTCGTCTAGGATCTTCGCACGTGAAGAGGAGTGATGGATCGCTGGGTGATCCTTCAGTGAAGGTAGGCTGGAAAGAAAAGATCATTGTAAACTCGATTTGCATGCTCGGTTCGTTTTGAATGTCTTCTGATTGCTTTTGAATTGCCCGGTACAGTTCTATCGAAAAAGTCTCCCACGATTGTATGTACTGTGTGTTTCTATTCTTGGACCGACGACTGATTTAATATTTCAACGTAATCTGTATGTATTATAGAAATGCAGGGTGACGTACCGTGCAAGAAATTCGAGTAATCGTGTAAAATTCAAAAAGTTCCGGTTTGGCTCTGTCGTTAGTTCGTGATAATGGCAATGGTATCCGTTGAAGAAAAAAAAATGCTGCTACGGTAACTAACCCTGAGTTTGAGTCCTGCTGGGTTTAAACTAGGAAGCCATTTTGGGCCAGGTCGTAAAGACATCAAGAGAGCGGTCACGCTTGGCAACGGGTAAATGCGTAATTTCGGGGTACATGAACGTCTCCACGGGAAGAGGTCCTTCGCACTCCAGTTACCAGAACGCCTGCTGAGTATCCCAGGGGTTGGCGTACGCGGGTCCTAGACAATAATGCTTGAACTATGAGTTTGACTGGTAATAGACGCGTGTCCGAAGGAAGGCGCGGTACGTCCGGCGCAGTCCTATGGATTCCAAGTCGTTCGGGGAATCCAATGGGGCCGTTTGTATTTGGAAGCCGGTCGACGGAATCGTCGGCATTTTGCGTCGGCTCCATAGAGCTACTTCAGTGGATCGTCTCTCGCGCTTTAATTAATCAACGCCTGGGCATCAAAGACCCGAAACGCTGCTGAAGTTTGTTTATCGTCGGCGAGACCCTGGCCTGTTGTTACCAGGCCACCAGCGCCGCTTAGCGGTGCTTCCTGGAATCTCCTTGCGGCCTAATCAGCCTATCAACTGATGCGCTGCAGCCCTGCTTGCTTAGCTCGGTCAGGTTCGACATTCTTCGGGTTTCGTCGGCCGTCTTCGCTTTGCATCACTCTCTGCCATCTATCGACGCGATTCTATTGGTTGCTGCAGTTGGAGACTCAATTCTTATTGGCGGAGATGGCTCATAGGAAGCTTGTCGAAGCTGCACACGTTTCTTGTCGACTGTACACTCCGCCAACCTTATCTCCTCCGGTTCTCTGCGTTAAATAAACACCGAGTGGACAGCTAGTTAGTTTACACTTTGTTTTAGAGTTGTTAGCTAAACAGCTGAGCTTGCTTTGAGCCGCCGCCAGGGGCACGAACGTAAACTGGAAGCCACGAAGATTTCAATCCTTTAAAACTTTGACGGTCCTTGCCTTCGTTCACGTAGAGGCAATCGAAAGTGGTAATTTAACTTTTGATGTCTGTTAAAAAATACAGATTTTTCTTACAATTAGTCGAATCAAGTTTCTTATATGGCTTCTACTCCTTGGCAACACCTACCGGCTGTAATTTCGGTACGTTTGGCAGGTCCCAGGTGTCGAATGTCCCTTCACTGATCCTTACGGATCCTCTTGAATTCTCAGTAATTTAAAGTATCCCCACTAAGCACGCACTCCCCTATAATAAACCGTCACGCGTGTTTATTGATGCTCGGCTGGCTAAGTTATGGCCGGTAAAACACTCGTCGCCACTCGCTACTTGTCTGGAAAAGTTTTTCTATTACGATAGCAAAAAAATTATGTCACACTTACACAGTATTATTCGAGGGACATTTGCGAGATGACTCGGATATTTTTTTTAGTGTCAAGCTCACCAATGATTTTCGCGAGTCACGCGACCAAAAGAATAATAAACCGACGAGTAAATCGTCATGTAAGAACAGCGACGATGACAAACGAAAGAAACGATTTCCTTGGCATTGGTTACCCACAAAATAGGGGTCACGCCTCTCCGCACGTCTTTTTCCTTTTATCTTCTTCGTTCATTCACACTCAATCCCCACTGTATCCCTCTCTCTTTTTTTACCCTCTTCCTAAAAGCGGATGAACACAGTAGGTACACAAGCGGTCTTTTGGATATTCAAAGATTCGCAAAAGAAGTCTTCATTGTCGTGCCTCATCGACTCCTTGGAAGAATGGCCGGACCTAACCTCAAAAGTTCTTTATCCAATCATCTCGCCATTCACGCCTCTTTTGGTACTCACCTACACGGGCCATCGGAATTAGATCCATCACTCAGTTCCAAGGGTCCTCTCCCTTCTATCCATCCAAGGTAAGTAAATGTTGATGAAACTGTACCACGCCACTCCGCACAGCCCCTGCTGCAAACTCTAATTTCCAGATGGTCCACCAGGTGCCACCGCGATTATATGCCGGAACCGGAGATCCCGCATACTACAAGTACCATATATTCATGAACTCGCCGTAAAAATAATTTCACAGTAATTTTATTAAGGGTATATCAGAATTTATATATTTCTTATTATGTAACGTCGTCCTGCGAATAACCACTGGGCGACAGCTGCGAAACTTTGTTACTCCACCCCACCGCCATCTAGTTTGTCCGGATTCAGTTTGCTCTAAGAATTCTTAACAACAAGGAACCGTTGTCTTCCTTGCGACAAGAAGCAGAACTCTATCTTTCCACGTACTATCTGCCTGTACGTGTGGACTAGTATCGTGTTACACGACCGTCTAGACTCCGAACATTACAAAAACACACTGGCAGGTTAGGCGCGACTTTTCATTGGAGTTATGTGCGTCCTATGTTTTCTTGAACACGGACAAAGTGCCTCGTAACGAATTTAATTGAAAGCGAGTAATGTGTAGTGCTAGTATAGTAATACGTAAATGATGATTAAAAAATTTATTAATAATACAACAAACCGCGGTATTGGAAGTGTATCTTAAAACACGTGCTCATACCAAAGAAGTTTTGTATATTGAAACGGGAACTTAATGTGTAAGTAATTTAATACAGAATCAAGCCGAGGCTCCTGTCAAGATGGCGTGTTATGATGTTTATTCGATGGTGCTGGTTACACAGAGCATGTGATAAGATCAAGTAAATAAATTGAATCGAAATGAGTGGACTAAACTGCGTAAGTATATTTATCTTTGAGAAAAGAAAGCCACGAAGTGGCGTCAGTGAGAAAATTAAAAACATAATTAACAAGAGGATCGTTTAACTAAATTTATATGTATTATATTAGCCTATTATTCATTCAATTCGACATCTATTTATGGCACGCGGATTCATTCTATCTTTAGAGGTTATATTTTCTTTTCGAAGATCGTCTCCCTGCAATCTCTGTATCCAGTGTCGTAGCTGACAACCGATCTAACCTCGAAATTAATGGAGCGCTATAAATATTGATACGTGGCGCGAATGTGCCGATATATATACAGAAGTAACGTGTCACTTTATCCTTTTATCGATGTAACCAAACGCCAATTATCGACGCCTCCGCGGAGCGTAAGGCGAAACCTTATAGCCCTTACAGTAGATTCACGTGATCTTTGGCACATATTGAAAAAGTCTACGTGCTGCGTCCTTGGTGAAAATAAAAAATGATGAAGAACCTTACAGAAATAAATAACTGAAAAATATTTTTTATCAGCACGTAATAACGCAATCAAAAACTAATTTCGATAGGTCTTAACTGTGATGAAAATAAAATTCAATGCCGACAGGAGTATAATAGGATTAATAATAACATTATCATAGGATATTCTATTGATATCATTGAGTAATATATTGTAGTTAGGAATATTGTATTGTAATGGTGGGATTTTTTGTCTGGTGACTACGTTTGCTTTGTCGCAGCGAAACGTCTCGTTAGATCGAAAATCTGGATAAAATCACAGGGCGGTTGTTAAGGATTGAGAATAATGAGGCGTCGCGACGCACCTGCGTCCATTCGCTTACGTAGACTTACATCACGTCTTGGCAAATGTTAGAGGGATCAATGAATACGAAAAATCCTTTTTAACTTTATCCTTTCGTATTCTCGAGTTCAGGTAAAGCTGTAAAAAGTTGGGTCGCCATTGCGGTTGTCTGTTTTTCTATAATATATATGTTATATATAATACTACTGTGCAAGGGACCTGCGGTTTTCTTGCGGATCGTACCTCAACCGAAAATGCAGGGTAGAATATCTTCAGCCAGTACTTTACTGCCTTGTATAATATTTTGAAAGCTGTAAAAAAATTTATACCGTCAAATATGTCTGCAGGCCCACAGTTTTACAAGAGCCAAATTTTGAGCGTCCCCAGTCAGTTACAATATATATTTAAAATCTGTCAGACCTTCCAAAAATTTCTGGAAAAAACGAAATTTGTTAAGAATTCAAAATTATTTTTTTTCTAATTTTTTTAAATCTTATCAGTATTTGTATAAGGCAACTTGTGAATGCAAGTGGATATATAATATGCTTTACGGAAAAAAAAAAAAAAAGTGAATTAGCCCTTCAGAGGTTTTCTACTGTATTTGGGGTTGGGGCAATGGGGGTTGTTAGGCAGTTAAAAAAATCCTTAGGGAAACGAGGGTGTCAATAGCAGATATAAGTGAAACCACGTCTGTTCCACCGGTAACCGGTATACTCAAGCTTGAAGCTGGTACAGTGCTTGCGGAAAGTTCTGCTTGGACAGAATCGAGATTATAGTTGCCGGATGTTGTACGAATTGAATGATTCAGCCTGACGACATTCCATGATCCATCTTTTGTGCGTGCAAATATTGCCTTTCTTTAGTCGGGAGGTTAGCAGCATTAGAATCAACCCTTTTATGGCCTCAATGAGATCCGCTTTCAAGTCTTTGTCTATCAATGTACTCTATCAAGGCTAAGTGTCTAGTGTGGCCTACAGCATTGAGATAGACCTTGTTTACTGGTCTAACTTAAGAAATACATTTTCTTTTTTCTCTTTTAGTCGGGCGTCAAGTGTTTCCGGCATTTTTAGCCGCTGCATTGAGTCGGTACGTAATTGTAAGAGTATTAATTTTTCAATAGGTGCTAGTGGGGGAGAGAGGGAGATGGATATTGAAAGGGGGATATAGAAATTTTCGAAAAATTTTTTCAAAAAAATCAGAAAACGAATTCGTCCCGGACGATGGCTAAGACGCGAAAGGGTTTGTGGGAAATCGAAAAAGCAATCTTCGTTTTCATGCTTCTCCATGACCGTTCGGTAGTACTGAATTGAAAACACATAAAAGTTTTCTAATTCCAACAAAAGTGCGAACCGCCCCTCTGTTTAGGGAGCAACTCGCCAACAGACCACCCTTGTGGTATTAGATTGCTGTGTATTATTTTTATTTCTATTCAAGATGGCTGAGAACGACGACTTTCAGATTATACTCTGACCCGCTCGGATAATCCTGGAATAAGGGAATTTGCATTTGTTGTATTGTAGCCTGTAGGATTTCGAAATCCTCGAGAACTGAGAACCAGGCGCGTATCGGTGAGTGGAGCATAGGGGTCCCGTGAGAATTTTTGGAAAAAATTTTATTTTCTTATTCTTTTGAAACGATATTACATATTACTTTTTATTTATACTTTTTTTATTTAATTGTTATAAATAATTTTTTAATGTTATCAACAATGCAGAGCAACTTTTTTTTTTTGACAAATTTTTAGTTCTCTTATATACGCCTTTAAGTTATTCATATAGATACGGTCCTGACCGGTTCGGCACGGTGCCAAGTGACCGGCAGATTTCGGCAGATTAGCCGCTTATGTCGACAGGTTAACCTGCTTAACTTTTTAAGTTAGCAAATCGCATTACGGTTTGGTTCGCCTCGCAAATTCTCGGAATTTGCAGGGCGCTTGACTTTTTCGCCGAGATGTATTTTTTTTCTCTTCTTTCTTTCTTTCTTTTATATCTCCTCTCCCCGTCGTGGAGAACACAGGTGGGTTCCCGTAGGATAACCCGCTCACCGTCAGGATCATCTCGCTAACCCTGTCTCGCAGAACCGAGAGATTAGCCGCCACGTGGTCTTTGTCTCATGAGAAGTCGCGAATGGATTTTGAAAATTCTTTTGGCGCGTCTTCAAGAACTTTTCGAAATTCTATGCGCGATTCAAAGCTATCGAAGCTACGATACCCAGTCGTTTCGAGTTGTTGGTTTTTCAGAAAATTCACTCGACCCTCTCAAAATTCAATTTCCGTCGTCTTGCGACACTTCCTATTTTTCAGAAAAGCTTGACTTTCTTCGGACGATCTTTTTGACTTTGCTGTCAAAAATTTTCAAATTCTCTTTATTACTAAGCCTCTCAAATATTCCCTGGTACCTTGAGCCGCTTTGATGTCGACTTATAAGATTCTCTTTTTTTTCCCCACTACAATATTGATTTAGGGCTTTGCATTCACGATTTTGATTTTCATTTATCCTCTAACATGCTTTATTATATGTATTAAAAATCTATTCATTTTTTTTACCTGTAAATTATAAAAGATACCATAGCTCCTACAGCACTTTCCAATGGGGTATCGGTAAAACCAAAGAGTTTCAATTTTCATCGACCTCGTTTACCCGCGCTCAAAAGCCATACACAACCCCCATTTTTTAAATTCTCAACCAATGGCTTTTGCGAAGTCATCCGAAACTATCGAGAACGAAGTATATGCCCCATTGTATTTTGTGAACTTGTATAGCTACCTCTTCCTAAGAAAAAAAAAAGAAAAAAAAAAAAGAATAGAACGTAAAACAATTTTGCAAAATACAATATCTCGATTCTTCCTAACCTATATCTAAGAATCCGTAGCGCCTTTTCATACAAATAATAAAGAACGCGCCAAGACAAAAGTTCCCGTTCGACCTGGGGTACCGCGAAATAAAGAATTCTTCAGTCCGTTCCCGGACTCAATGTACCGGATCGTTCAAAAAATGTATCGACGACTATAAAGGTATATATAAAAATAATCAGGTAGAAATTTCCGAAAAAAAAATATATATATATGGTTCAACAGTTTTTTTGCCAAAAATTCATAAAAGCAATACGACCCTCCCTTTTCCCACAACCCCTAGCACAGAAATCGATAGCGATCGCAACCCTTCGATGGGAACGAAATTTTCAAATTTAACCCCTTTTGCCCTAAAATCTTGATTTCTATATTTACTCGTGTATATATATATATAGCGTTATAGAAAGATTCGACAGAATTCGGAAAGGTCGTCCGGAAGAAGGTGACGGGCACCCTCGGAGTCGAGGTGTTTCTTGTCAGGGTGGGTTTTGTTGAGCAAATAACCTCGTTTGTTGGTCCACTCCGAGTACCTGGTGCTTTTCGCAGGAGGCTGGATGAAAAAAAAAAAGATAGAAAAGAGGAAATAACACTATAGGTATAGAGACGCGAAATGAAGACATTGAATGTCCCTATACTCTGACTGTCGTCAGGTCCTACGAGGAGGTTGAAGACGAAGACGAAGAAGGGAACGTGCGAGCGTATAAAGGAAAAGGAAGAAAGAAAAAAAAGAAAAGAAAGAGTGAAAAAAATGATGAAGAATACAAAATGGCGAGCAGAATAGAAGGATCCCGGAGTTTTCGAGCGGTGTGGCGAATTTGGCGTGCTCTTATGATAATGACGTAATGAGTGTTCTGGGCCTCCGATTGGAGACGCCTGTCTGGACCAAAAACTTCTTCACTGCAGTGAGTAAAGGTCTCGAGCGGAGAGTGAGTAGTGATCAAGATGTAAAAAAAAATTATATCAATTAATCAAAGTATCTTTACTGATAATTAATCGAAAAATTGAACAGTGCGTTTTCAAAAAAAAATTCTCAATTCCAACAATTTTTTAATTTACCAAAATATCGCTCCAATTATTTAATGGGATTAATGGTGCTCGGTGATTCGGAATTGGATTGTATACCTGTATCCCTGTAATTATAAAGAAAATAATTTTTGCAAATTTTTTTTTTTTTTTTTTTACTTTTTTGAACTATCCACGGGTCAGTGTTTCGCGAGTGACTCAGACCTTTCGCTATATCCCATTCTGTTCTGAGCAACTAAGGGATGCAGTCAGATCTAAGGGTCTCCGCAGGGTGACGACATTTTCACTATGGGGGGCGAACCGTACGTATATAAAGATGTCATTCCGACCGGCAAAAGACATCTTTGCCTTCGACCGTGCCGCTCGTACTGAAAAATCTGCAGCATCCCCCCTGACCTTACTCAATACCCTATATACATATATACTGTCACAGGTCACTCCTCACGTGGATTTCCCTTCTATGCCGTTCTTAACGAACTAAGTCATATTCTACATAGATGAAATGATTCTGAAAAAAGAGATGAATTTCCATAAAAAAATTTTTCAAAAAAAAGAAAATATTTAATAACAATATAACACATGTAGAAAATCCTATATAGCAATTATAAAATTTTTTTAATTACAGCTATATCCCGATATTACAATAATTAACAAATTTGTCTATCCTAAAAGTATTTGAATTTGGAATTTTTTTGTCTGAGGGAAATTTTAAGTAGGCATCCATTTCTTTTTTCTTTTCTCAAACGACAGGTACCTTTCGCGTCGGCCCGTTTCACCTTCCTTATTTTTCATTTTTGAAGATCGAAATCTTACCGGGCAAAGGTATACCGATCGCGAGGATCTACGCAAAGATTTATGAATTGCCTATTGGGACTCTTTGTATTATTATACTCCGGGAATAATCCCACACGAGGCTCGATGTTGCTCCGCTATCCGACAGGTCGAATAAACATCCTCGATTGATCGTACGAAGTCGCGGACCGTCTGACTTTATCTATATATATATACATATATAATAATATAATTCGATTAGGAACCCGATATGCAATATTTACTTTTTAAAAAACTCAAAAATCGACCAACTGTCCAGCATAAAATTATTTATTTGTCAAATGGCGTTAATGATGAACATAATATTTGAAACGATAAAAAAAATTAAAATACGTAAAATTTCTTTGCTTATAATCGTATAAAATTTCCCGTGTAATTCGCCATGCGGTTTCAGGCACCTTTCTCCTGATGTAAAACCTGGAAAAATAGAAGCAATCATAATAACAGAGAAAAGGTGTCGGAAGTCACTGAAGAAATCGACCAACTGGTCGAAATGTTGGTAGGATTGGTTGGTATTGCATGGTATATTTGAATATAGGGCAGAAAGAATATAACGAGCCCTTTACGTTAAAGGGCGCTGTTAAAGGTCGAACGAAAACAGATTTTCGTTTAGACAATTTTTGTATATTCAAAGTGCAATAAAAATTGTAGGTATCGGTTCTACCCAGCTTTAAGTTGATTATGGATATTACTTTTGGCTTTGAGCTTAGGTTACGTAACTTTTTAAAGTTATTGTACCGACTTAACCAAAATTCAATTTACGTGGATTGTATAGACTATGGTATTTATTGTACCACCCTTGTCCAGCCGTCCGTCATTGCCTTGGACGCTCGGGGTGAGATGGCGAAGTTAATTAGTTTGAGGTTCTAGCGGTAATTCAATATTACCGATAGAATTTTAATATTGGGGGTTCTTTTTGTGAATCGTGGGGAATTATGGGAAATCGACGTAGCAGTTTAATAGGGGAACCGTCTTTCGTCTTAAAGGGTCGTTTTCTTCTGCACTGACTGTCCGAACGGTATGACCTCTGTTATTACCACCACCCCCTCCCGCTACCCCTCTTATACCTAGGATAATCCTATTAACGTACAATGACCTTTGACAATTGCTAATTGTTGCACGTACAATTGTTAACAATTGTTTTCGGTACTCGCGAATTACCGTATTTTGTATTTATGACAAATCTACCTAATCCAATTTGGGTTAATAATGGCTTGGCTTGTTATTTTCATTAAGAATATATATGCGTTGTACCGGTATTTTTGGATTTTTGAAAATTTTTATAACACCGTAAAAAGGGGGTTTGGCGGTTTTATGGTAATTTTTTAATTATCATATTTTCACCTTTCTTAATTGGCTGTACACTGTGTATTGGGGTTGGGTATTTATTAGATAATGTTTATGTCGGTTTCATTGGATATTTTTCGGTGCGTTGAGTGAAATTGATACCGGAAATTATTTAATTACTTGGAACTTGATTTTTTGGGGTTTATGGTTGGTTTTTTTTTAGTGCATTTTCAACCGTTCACTCCTTTGATCCGATCGAGTTTGATCTTTCTTGCTAAGGATCACTCGGAACACGGTTCGAAATCTATAAATTTACATTGACACGGTGTTTAGGATTTCTGTATGTATATATTTATATATTGTGGAATGATTGGGCGCAGCAGCCGATTTATACGAAAAAGAATATTTCGTAGAATCACCGGTGATTTTACGCCACTGGAAATGATAGGGGTGCTGATTGAATATACGTTATGTGTATAGTAAGCGTGGATGATACCTGTGTCGAGTCGCGCAGGAAGTAAAAAAAAAAAAAAAGAAAAAATGTCCAATCCCAAATTTATAACAATGTGCTATTTCTGAGTAAAAAATAAAAAATATCTTCAAAAACGTACTTGTCACGCTTACGATATTTTACAAACTTTCCACGTGGACCGACGGGAACTTTGAAGCGAACCGCTGAAAAATTGCTAAAATTCCGAAAAAAAAGCTCGCACCAAATATACATTGTTCCAGGAAATTTTATTCAAGGAAAGAAAACGTTCCCAAATGTTATTAAACTCTCAGAACACTCATAATCAAGAATCACCATCGGTAACTTCGGAACAGTAGAAGTTACGATTAACACATACCCGGTATAAAGTCCGAAGGAGTAAACCACAAATCCGGTAATACATCACAGAAAAAGGAAGAATAAAATTTATAAACATGGATTCCATGAAATTACGTAGGAATACGATACAAGTGAAAAGTGAGGAACAACGGACAAGGCAGCTCCCTAATTTCGCATTCACCAGAAACAAGTGAAATCAATACGTAAACTGCAGTTGGATACGTTAAAGAAGAGTGAGAGGACTACCCCCGAAATAAAGAAGAAAAATTAAAGTCTTCCTTTCTTTTTCCAAGAAAACAAGTATCGCTGCTGTCAAAGTAAAATTGTGTGGATGGCAGAGCCGAGGGCGAGCGCTGCGAAGTAGGCGGCGAGCAAGGATTTGTTTGTGTTCCTGTCGGTGTTGCGGCTGCGCTCCCCACCATACCTCGGGAGTGCCATGCTCCTCTGTTTGCATTGTTTACAGACAAACATCGTGCCCAAACACGAAGAGTGGAAGAGCTTAGGTGCAGAAAGAACGCGTGTCCATTGGCGGAGGCGCCGTAAAGGCAGAGTCTATTGGTGACTGGGTGGGGCCTAGCGGCCGGTATAAAAGCGTGCGGAAGGCGTGGAGCGAGCAGATACGTGCGAAGGCTCAGAGGGAGAAGTACGGTACGTTTCAAAGTGTTAAAGTTTACTCGTGTTCCCTCGAGTCCCGTCACAGCCAAGCCTCTCATCGAGGCAGTGTAGAGTAACGAACGTAGAAAAAAGCGTGTCACGGTCCTGTGCGTTAGATCGAACAACAAGTGCAAGCCCACTTCGAGACTCAATTCGTAGCCGTAAGTGTAAAAGTGTCTATCGTGGACGTTAAGAAAGATTAAGTGCGCCTCTAAGGACAGTGCACGAAGCATGGTGAACATGGAAGGTTCAAACGAGCAGCATACAGTGACAGCATCGCCACCGCCAAGGACTACCCTCAAGAGTAGTTTCAGCATTCGTAGTATCCTGCCCGAAGCCTGCGCCGGTACCCCGGCACCGTCTGTCAGCCAGGCTCTGAGTCCTGAGCCAGTGCACGCCGACGACAGTGACGACTCGAGTGACTTGGACGTTACCGGCGACGGCGCGGAGACGCCGCCGTTGGACTGTTCCAGGAACGCCGCCTCCTCGAGTCCCAGTCAACGCGACAGCAGGGATCAGCCTAGCGACGAGAAAAAGAAGTCCGAGAAGCCGCCGTACAGCTACAATGCACTGATAATGATGGCGATACGTCAGAGCCCCGAGAAACGCCTGACTCTTAACGGCATTTACGAATACATAATGCGACACTTTCCATACTACGAGAACAACAAGCAAGGCTGGCAGAACTCCATAAGGCACAATCTCTCGTTGAACAAGTGCTTCGTTAAAGTGCCAAGGCATTACGACGATCCCGGCAAGGGTAACTACTGGATGCTAGACCCGAGCTCCGAGGATGTTTTCATCGGCGGCACCACGGGAAAGCTTCGCAGACGAACCACGGCGGCGTCCCGATCGCGTCTGGCTGCCTTCAAGAGGAGCGTGGTACTCGGCGGTCTTTATCCCAGTCCTTATCCGCCACCGGGATGGCCGGCGTCCCTGTACACGTTGCCTTATCTACATCGTGCCAGTTACCCCCCGGCAACCGGACCTTACACCACTCCTGCGGGATATCCGGCAAGTCTTCTACCGGGAGCAGCAACCTCGGCGGCGGCGGCGGCCGCGGCCGCAGCCAGTCTACCCTGCAAGCCGCAGGCCTTACCGGCCACGGCCGCGCCACCGGCTCACGGGGCCTTCTCCATGGAGAGACTCCTCCAGGCACCACCCGGGTATCCTGCCAGCATATCCGCACCAGGTATACCTGCGCCCACCAACCCCTACGACTTTTATACCACCCTGAGGTCACTCGCTGCTCATCAACAACATCAGCAGGCGGTTTTTGGACAGCACCAACAACCCAGATATCATCTGAACCAGTCGACGCCTATTCTCAGTCAGACACCCTCGACCACGGCTTCGCCCGGTAGTAGCCCTGAACCTATGTCGCCCCACTCGCCCCCGGTATCTATCTGTAACCCAGTGCAACCCAGATCTCACCCTCACAGCCCACCTCAGCTGTTACTCAAACCAATAACTGTACTCACTGCGAGACACAGTTGAATTTTCATTAGTCTCATTATCGTTATACCCGGTTACACGATGATAACAAACTGCACCTATCTCAATTCTTAGCCGCGTAACTTTAAATTATATTCCGAACGATCCTTAAGGGACGATTCGGCACGCGTAGCTGCTTCGCGGGCTCATGCGGGTTCGAGACGCGGCGCCCAGACCTGTCCTTCGAAGATGACGCGTTAGCTAATTTATTTTTAGGACGATACACAGTGATTGTTACTTCTGTACAGGTGCGACTCTGTGAATTAAATGCGATGCGTTGTAATTGATTTACGGAGATTTGGCATTTGACTTTTTTCAGTATCGTTTTGTCACGTTTTAATAAGTACTAAAGGAAAAGACTAAAGGGGGGCAGGGTTCGCGCGTGTCGCGTTAATTGTGATTCATATGGAGACGGACGATGAGATTAGAGTAATATAATAAATATTGTAAATAAAGATGGCGCGCGTATAACCAGGCGTACTTTATTATATTATATCGAACGATATATAAATGTAGATAGAAATAATCGGGATCTCGTGCGATTTATCGCTACCTTGTCCCATTGTAAATACAGAAGAGATATTATTCGATATATCACAGCCCTGTACATATTGTCGCAGGCGTCAATGAAGAGACCTGTACTGTGAAAATAAATGTTCAAACTTTTTATATAAAAAAAAAAGAAACAAATCAAATAATTGTTCCAAAACATTATTTCTTAACCTACCCGATCTAACCTAACCTAAATTATATTCTTTTCAGGCAACTCAAATTTACTATTTTTTCATAATATTGTCTTCATTCCGAAATATGTAGCATTCACGTGATTAGATAACTACAGGATATTTAAAAAAAAAAACATCCTATTTTTACATAACATTGCGCAATTTAGTAATGAAAGTTTACAGGACCTTCGGTCTGGTACGCGAACACATATATACAGGGTGTCGTAAAAGTAACAGGCAGAACCCGCCGACTGTCAAAACACGAGAGACGGGTAATATAAAAGTGTGCCCATTCAACAAACGAAACACAATGACCGAAGGAGGGATAAGGTAAGGAAAAGAATATTTGAGAACCGTCCAATTGGTTTACAGCATCTCGACCAATATAACCATAAACTATAACGCAAGAACGTCCTTCCAGTAAGCATTCGAGGTTTGCGTAGACGTAGCAAAAGTTTCACTCGGTTGCCAGTGAAAAGCACGTGTATCGCGTTAGAAAAATATCGAAGTCCATTGCAAGGGTAACGTGTATATTTAAAATCGCGGTATAAAATATTTATAAAATATTTTTTATATAAATTTTTATTTTCATTTTTCATTAATCTTATCTACTCCTTATGCATATATATATATATATATATATATATATATATATATATATATACACACACACA